CTTCCTCATCACCAGTCATCCCATTGACCACTCCAGACTCCATAATTTTCTGTTTAGAGACATTTTTCTTGCATTTAAAGACATTTGCGTGTGTGAGACATTTATAGTGAATTTCTTGTGTACTCTAAACCTTGTGTTTTCAGTGTAGACTCAGTGTTTCTTTGACTCGTTATTTTTGCAATATTTTTCAGTGTTATCGCTCATCTCATATTTTTTTTATGTGTTTTTTTTTATGCTACTCTCTGTCTGTAGTAAGTATTATTGTGTAGTGTACCAGTCAGTCACTCCGTGTGAAGTGATTCATTTTTTTTTTGTATTCTTTCAGCATTGTATTCTCCAGTAATTGTCATTGTATTTCATGCAGTGATATTCACCCCAGTATACCAAATTATCCATTTATTTATATGTGTGTCTTTTTTCGTATGCCAGCAGTGTCTCTTTCCCTTTCTAATTTTTTCGCAGACTTGTGTACCATTATTTTTGCCAGCAAATTTTTGTCGTATCAGTCACAGCAAGATTTTGTTGTAAGAATATACTAAACTAATGAATACGTGATTAAGTGTTGTGTGCCCCGCCACTTGTAAGTGTTGTGTGCCCCGCCACTTGTAAGTGTTAAACTTCCCGTTTTGTTCCTTGTTTTAATTTTTATTCATACTTTTTCATATTTCTTTGAACAATTTCACTCTTGATGTAATTTCAATTACTTTTAACGTAAAGTGTTTTCTTTACTCTGTTTGAGTAAATTGTTTTGTTTAATTTACAATTAAGAGTTAAAGTGTTCAATCAATTTTTCTTCATATTTTTATTTTATTATTTAACCTGAGTTTTCCCAGTGAGACTTTATTACTGCAGTGATTATTTCTACACCTTATTTTGTTGCACTTGTTCTGCAGTGAATTATTTTGTTGCATTTGTTCTGCAGTGAATTATTTTGTTGCACTTGTTATGCAGTGAATTATTTTGTTGAACTTGTTCTGCAGTGAATTATTTTGTTGAACTTGTTCTACAGTGAATTATTTTGTTGTACTTGTTCTGCAGTGAATTATTTTGTTGCACTTGTTATGCAGTGAATTATTTTGTTGAACTTGTTCTGCAGTGAATTATTTTGTTGAACTTGTTCTGCAGTGAATTATTTTGTTGTACTTGTTCTGCAGTGAATTATTTTGTTGAACTTGTTCTGCAGTGAATTATTTTGTTGAACTTGTTCTGCAGTGAATTATTTTGTTGAACTTGTTCTGCAGTGAATTATTTTCTTTTATTGATATTTTTTATGCATTATTATTCTCAGTTTATTATTGCATCTTGTTTTTCATTTTATTAATTTTCCTGATGTTATCTTTGCATTATATTTTAATTTTGTTTATACATTCTTAGAAAATATTTAAATTTTCCAGTTCTCTCTCTTTGCATACAATTTAGTAATTTTATTTTATACTTTTTTATATTGATTTAAAATTTTATTAGTTAATTCCTTTATTAGCAAGAGTAAAGACAGCTCATTTTGCATTTAATTCAGTTTCCAGTAATATTTTTACTTGTATATTTCAATGTATTTTTTTTTCTTGGCCAACAGTCCTTTACATTGAGTTGTCCTTCCTCTTGCAGTGTATCTTAGACATTTTTTATTACTTATGCAGAATTGTTAAGCATTTTCTTCCACTTAAGCTTACTGTGTCATTTCTCTATTTTTTTTTTTTTTTTTTGCCTTATGTCCTTGAGTAAGTTCCCTGAGATCATGTCCCAGTCACTTTTGAATGTTCACTAGTGTATCATGCCAGTCAAAGTTTAATATGAATCAGTCCACAGTAAACCCAAAATTCCCTTACTGACTGAAAGACAATACCTAGCCCTTGAGCAATGTGTTTGTTCTCACAGCTTGTATCTGAGATTTGTTAAAGTGCTGCGAAATGTGAAGTTCAGATTAAGTTCCTATAGATCCGTGAATTACTTATTAACGTAGCCGAGCGGTCAGGCACTAGTAATACTGTCACTCCTGTCTGGACTCCAGCCACAATATCATGCACGCAGGATAGTGCGACTACTATCCTTGCGAGGCGACTTGTTCAAGTATTCGTTCCTTCCCAGGGGACGCTTTGAGAAGAACTTGACTTGCAACGAGTTAGGCCATCTCTTGCTGATGCCACAAGCCGTGCAGAAAGACGTTTCTGTGGCTAGTGTGCTCACTTGAGTGTTGTTGTTGTCCTTGTGTTTCAGATTGTGATCCCATCCTAGTTGACAGTAATCAGTGCATTGTAAGAAGTTATTTCTCGAGTAACTTCCACGTTGTTAACGTTTGTAAGTGAAGTTTATAGCTGATACCTCGTGTCACTGTGTGCGACTCAGATTGAATATCAGCATTGTTCACCGTGTTCATTTCTTTTCTCCTGTGCTTGCAGTTTGAGATAGTAGATTCGTTCTCCCTTGCTCATATTGCGTGTTATAGCGTTAATTTTTTTCAACCGGGAGGAGTCATCCACTCCACCGAGTTTGTTCATTCCTCCAGTAAGAAAAAACCGATCCCTTGTGTTCTGGTGATTCAATTCCTGCTCCAGGAAGATCTTATTCTGACTGTGAAGCCACCAGCACCCATCAGTGACTTTGTCATGAACCAAGAATTACTGTATCGAACAGCCGAGTTGGGTACTCCTAGCAGAAGAGTATACCAGTTAGTAATTCCAGTCACTAGTGAATGTAGCCTTACAGCTAGTTCACGATGTACCAGGTGTTGCACACCCTGGTATGGATCGTTCAGTAAAACAAGCCAGATTGAAATACTTTTGGCCTCGTATGGCAACTGATATTTCTGAGTATGTTAAGAAATGTAGTGTCTGCATGCAACATAAATGTAATGCTAATGGTCCTAATCCAATCCAAGTATATCCAACCACTAGCGAACCTTGGGAAAGAGTTGCGCTAGATTTGTTAACTAATTTCCAATGTTCCCTCCAAGGCAACAAACATCTGTGTGTTATGGTAGACCATTTCACCAGATATTGTGAGTTAGTTCCTATTGCAGATAAGACTGCCGAGACAGTAGCTAAAGCGTTTAAAGAACGCATTATCTGCAGGCATACCACCCCTAAGTCCCTAGTAACAGATAATGGAGGTGAATTCTGTAATGAGATTCTTGAAAATTTGTGCACCTTGTACAAGATCTCTAAATCCACCATTGTTCCTCATCATCCTGCCAGCAATGAGCTAGCGGAACGAACCAATAAGAAAGTACTTGATGTCTTGAGAGCCACTATCAATCCCAACATTGAATCTTGGGATGAAGTCATACCTGATGTGCAGTGTGCTATAAATTCTGCTTACAATGTTTCTATAGGTGACACTCCACATTATGCATTGTACGGTGTAGATAAACGTTTGCCTTATGAGTTGTTATATTCTAATCCGAAACCAAATTACAACCCTGATGATTTCATAGCAACTCGTACCAGCTTAGCTCAAAGTGTTTTTAGAAGAATCCGTGAAACACTTCATAAATCAAGAGCAGAATTTACAAGAGTCGCAAACACTCTAGCAAAGCCATCCAAAATCAAAGTAGGTTCGAGAGTTATGCTGATTAACTTTAACAAAACGTCTGCAATGCCAAAGCTTGATCAAAAGTTTGTTGGTCCTTATCGAGTAGTTGAACATATCACTGGTAATAAGTATAAGGTTAGAGAAATTAGTACTGGTCAGTATAAAGAATCGCATTTAGATCATATGAAGTTAGTATGTGATGATAATGATGTTCCAACCCAGACTAATGTGACAGACTCTGAAATCTTCCTGATCCTGTACTCTCTTCCTCTGATACTCAGTCAACGATCAACCTAATGTCGTTATTCCCTACGTACACGACAGGTATTGAGAAATCCTCAAGTATCATTTGTAACTTCCAATTCAGATTTTGCCTCAAATACAGCATGAGTTAGCCAATGCAACAGAGTTTGATCCTCCAGAGATGACACTCATTCTGCATATGTCAATCTTACCCTAGCAGAGTTGGGGTTAAATGTAAATAACCTGTATAGATGAATAATTACAGTATCAACTTATCAGTATTCAAGAATTTTTTTTTGTGTTCACGTTCTCTCCGAATTCTGAGAGTTAACAGTCTAGATTTGAGTGCACCGAATCTGCCTTTCTGTTAAACACTCCTTTCTTTGTATATATTCTTCCTCAGAATCCGTAGATCACATGAATACAGATCGATCGATCAAATTTTTTTTTATCACTTCTATTGTGTAATCTCAACGTTGAGTTTCATTCGATGAGTTGTGCTATATTATACCTTGTATTGCATTACAGTTTCAGTTACGTAAGCTTCCATTCCAATGTTCTACTTATGTATGCTATAATGTTCAATTGTTGTGTACTTTGACATTGTATAGAATCAGCCCAAGCCGTATACCTGCCATCTCTAGTTTGTATTAGTTGTATGTCGGGACGACATACGTTAGCGTCGCCGAGCTCTCAGTAGTAGTAACCAGTTACCAGTAACCAGTGTACCAGTAGATGACTCACTACCAACCGTCTCTGCCTGAGTCACTGTCTGTATTCATATTGTGTTGACCACAGCAGTATTCAAAGACCCCCTCACATATGGGTACTGTGGGCGGTCAGTTATTCGAGAGTGAGCAAGGAGGTAGGTCACGGCTGTTTGGGCGCTTCCCACATTATCCGTAATTATACGTACTACCAGCCTACGTGAGTATTACTTTACCCTATCCACGTGTTCGAACCCCACATGATACCCCAACATCAAGACACCATGAACCTTCCCCAACATCAAGACACCATGAACCTTCCCCAGCATCAAGACACCATGAACCTTCCCCAGCATCAAGACACCATGAACCTTCCCCAACATCAAGACACCATGAACCTTCCCCAACATCAAGACACCATGAACCTTCCCCAACATCAAGACACCATGAACCTTCCCCAGCATCAAGACACCTGCACATGAAGGCTTCTGTTGTGTTCACCTTTCTTTTTCTCTGTTTCAGAGTTGACAAGGAAAGTGAGTGTTAGTGAGGCGGTAGAGTACGTGGACTCTGAGGTGTGTGTAGGGCAGGAGAGAAGAGTGGGTATCGAGAGTGCAGAAGAGTTCAACTTCCTGCTAAATTGTTTACTCTGCAACATTAATACCAACTTTGGAGGTCAGTTGTGCAACACAGGTATACAATACCGACAAGATGAAAGTTAAGACACATGTGCAACATCTGGTTATCTTTATTGTAGACGTTTCGCCCTCCAGTGGCTTTATCAATACAGATTCTTGGAGATAATAAGAAATACGAAGAACTATATGCAAAAGATGAGGTAATCAGTCCCTCAGCCTTGGAGGTGGTGTTTAGAGCACCGTGGTTGTAGAGATGGCGAAACGTCTACAATCAAGATAACCAGATGTTGCACAAGTGTCTTAACTTTGGAGGTCAGTACAGCCAGGGATTTGATTATGTGGAGTAAACTCGAGTGTGTGTCAGTCTGTGTTGGCCTGTCAGGACAGCGAACGAAATGTTTCTCTGGTGTTTTGTACATATAAAACCTTTATTAAAGCATGTAAATTTAGGCGCTTTATATTCGGAATTATTGCAATAAAAACACACACGTATAAATATTAATGGGAAAAAATGAAGGTTGGTCCTCCGTCCGTGTGGGTCAGAGCAACGAGTGCATTTTTTCTAGTTAGATATAAAATATATTAAAACGTCTATAGCATTGTTTTAAAGCTCTCTATATTGTTTTAAAAAGCATATATTCCTTTAATAATAATGGTGAAAATTAAGGTAGGGTATGCTTGGGTAGCATTAAAAATGACTTGGGAGAATATGTTTTGGACTTGAGGACTTGAAAAAACCTGCCTATTATGGGCCACTAGGCCGCCTTCCGTGTCCTTTCTTCTGTTAGTTCTCTACTCTCACAGCCACAGGCTTAACCTTCCAAGGTTTTAAGAAGTACTCATATGGGATCAAATCTGATTTAATTTCGTTTCACAGATGCTGTGTGATCCATAAGGGTTTACTGCTCATCAGGGACTTTGAGCACAAGTATTCAGTGAACTACTAAACCCGTGCGGGTTATTCAACGTTAATGGTGGTGGAGGCTCCAGCCTCCGTCCGGTAATTACTGAACTGTCTTGGACCTTTCAGGTTACTAACGAGGAGCTATGATACGACAGCAGATGTTTTGGTCTGTGCTGGAATGTTGTAGAGTCCCTATTTTAATTGTTAATGGTCCAGGACCGACCGAAATATCGTTTGGTTTTATCTCCAACTTGTTGGTTGATTTTAATTGTTGCAACCACTATTGTGGGTTAGTTATGAATTGTTGCAACAACGGTACTGTGGGTTATTTCTCAACTTCAGAAACATTGTCATGTCTGTGTAATTAGTAATTTGCATTTCCCTAATTGCATTAGCTGCTGGACCGCCTCTTAACTAAAGAGACTGATATAAGTTTCATGGTTCTTCTCTCTGAACTTGTGCAGAGACCTGACCTCAACCATTTCACTGTTATGTTCACCCCCACATCATATCCCCCCCCCAGGTCATGTTCATCGCTACTTCTGGGTTTGTTGTATTTATATACCTAAGTACCCACATTAAGGGAATTGATCTAGCTTTGTGCTCACAAAAATGACCCAGATTCGATCCCTGGGCTACACAAGACAAAGGCAAATCATGTAGCTGCTTCCCCCCACCCCCTCTGTATACTAATGGTAAAGAGATAACTGGGAGTTAGTAGACTTTCACATCACAGGCAGCAGGACTGAAAAAAACATGTGATGAATGGTTTTGAAAACCGACCATGTCTATCTTGAATTATCCTTGGTTCGTAAACATGACAAAATTATTGTCAAGTCTCCAGTATTGTCTTTATATCCGTGAGTGTTCGTAATTATTATATTGCAAAAAATAGGTGATAATCCCAAATGGGTCATACAACGATGGGTCTTTCCTTCAACTCACGTGGCTCCACTGTCTGTTCTACCTGTGTCTTGCTACTGCAGTGGTATCCATTGCAGTTGCAAGTTAGGAGGTCAGGACCTAAAACAAGCTCGCATGTGCCAATTCACTTTTAAACATTTTTCTCGTCTGAACAAACAATTACGTAGCTTACGTTCCTTGTATTATCATTGTTACTAACAAAGACTGTAGAACTATATACAGAAGACAGTAGAAAATGAGGTAATCAGTCCCTCAGCCTAGGAGCAGGTGATGACCACCATAGTCTTGAAGAGTCTGAGGCACGAGCAGGAAGAATGTCGCTCATATACTGGAGTCAGATGAGGTGCAGCAGACGAAGGCATTGTCACTGGTAGGTGGGATTCCCCTAGTGGAAGTAGGTTATGCCCAAGAATTGGGCCAGAGATAGCGAGTAGAATTGTGGAGATGTTCACTGTACCAAGAATCCGTGAAGTTGCTGTCTGGTAGAGTATATATCACTGGTATATAATACCGACAAGATGATGAATTAGACATGAGCAACATCTGGGTGTCTATTTTCTAGACGTTTCGCCACACAGAGCTTTATCAATACAATACAGATAAATTTATCAACATGTCGGTTCTCTGAACCATTCATCTACAAACAATACAGATAGTTTCCTCTCCATATATTCCAGTGCCTCCAGTATACAATCTCTACTGGATTGAAAAAGCCACTGGCTTGGCGACCAGTGTTTATCAATAAAGACACCCAGGTGTTGTATATGTGTCTTGTTTATCATGTCTTATTCGTACTGTTTAATGCTCGCCATTGACTTAAGAACATAAGAAAGAAGGAACACTGCAACAGGCCTACTGACCCATGCGGAGCATGTCCATGTGTCCCCCCCCCCCGGATTAGCCCAATGACCCATCCAGTCTGGTCACCTCCACTCAAGGATGGAGCACTGCAGCAGACCCAGCAGCACAAGCTAGTCAGGTCCAACTCACACCCACTCATGTATTTATCTAACCTATTTTTAAAACTACACAACGTTTTAGCCTCAATAACTGTACTCGGGAGCTTGTTCCGCTCATCCACAACTCTATTACCAAACCAGTGCTTTCCTATATCCTTCCTGAATCTGAATTTTTCCAACTTGAAACCATTGCTGCGAGTCTTGTCTTGGCTGGAAATTTTCAGCACGCTATTTACATCCCCTTTATTCCTGTTTTCCATTTATACACCTCGATCATATCCCCCCTAATTCTACGCCTTTCGAGAGCGTGCAGATTCAGGGCCCTCAGTCTATCCTCATAGGAAAAATTTCTGCATATATGGGATCACCTTGGTCATCCTCCTCTGTACGTTTTCCAGAGCATTTATACCCATTCTGTAATACGGTGACCAGAACTGAGCAGCATAGTCTAAATGAGGCCTAACCAAGGATATAAAGAGTTGAAGAACAACCTGAGGACTTCTATTATTTATACTTCTAGATATGAAGCCAAGAATTCTGTTAGCTTTATTGCCAACACTAATGCACTGTTGTCTTGGTTTTAGATTACTGCTAACCAGAACTCCTAAATCCTTTTCGCAATCAGTAGTATTAAGATCTACATTATTTAGTTTATATGTGGCATGGTTATTTACCTGTCCAACGTTTAGAACTTTGCATTTGTCAATATTAAACTGCATCTGCCACTTCTCCGACCATTGCATCAACTCTATTCAAATCATCCTGGAGTGCTCTAGTGTCCTCATTAGAATGAATTGGACGGCCTATTTTGGTGTCATCAGCAAATTTGCTTATGTGCTATTTATTCCCTCATCTATGTCGTTTATGTAAATTGTGAACAACAACGGGCCCAACACTGACCCCTGAGGAACACCGCTTGTGACGTGCCCCCATTCTGATTTCTCCCCATTTATGCAAACTCTCTGCTGCCTATTTGTCAGCCATGCCTCTACCCAGGAAAAAATTTCCCTCCTATTCCGTGTGCCTTAAGTTTCCTCAATAGCCTCTGGTGTGGACTCTATCGAAAGCCTTACTGAAGTCCATATACACAATATCATATTCATTACCATGATCTACCTCCTCAAACACCTTAGTGAAAAAAGTTAGTAAATTCGTAAGACAGGAACGCCCCTTTGTAAAACCGTGTTGAGATTCATTAATCAATCTGTGCCTATCAAGATGGCTACGAATTGCTTCGGCAATTGATTCCTTGCGAATTATCGTGTTGACATACGATGGTAAACTCACATTTTATTTAAACCAAATTCATTTAACATTTGATTCCAGTTCGTTTTCATAAAATATGGCCTAAGCCAACAGTTTTCTTACCTGTAGTTCACTTTATCCAGTTTTTATTTACATAGATTTATTGTATTTCAGGTGTGTATGTATTTCAGGTGTGTGTGTGTGTGTGTGTGTATTTATTTAGTAAAATGCTCTTTATAATTGTTAAAACTGTGTTTACTTGCTTACAGCAACGAAAAACAAGACTAACATATTGACATCTGGCATAATGAGCGTCAAGACCCATTACGAGACACCTGTGGAGGTCCTCACCCACCATAATGGTAAATGTTACATTATCATTCAGCATCACAGCAAATGTCAACATTACTGAAGTACTATCCACTTAAGTTAAAGATAAGGTAATCAGTAGTAGAGTGGTGGAGCCTGGCTGAAGAACGAGTCTTTAGCACGAGTTTAGAGAGTGAGTTCTATCTCACGAACCTACTGGAGTGTCACAGCAAGTTGAGAAGGATCAAGCAGGAGAGAGGTAGAAATTAGGTCGTTTTGATATTTTAAGAGTACCTTAACCTGGAAGATCACTCAACACTCTTGGCAATAAAAAAAAATAAAGCACACATAAGGACATGCAATGTACAGTTAGCGAAATACGACTAACCTAAATAAATTGCTGACGGCTGAAGGGACAATATTCATAGTTCAGAGAGAAGTTCGCTACGGTAACAATGACCCACAAGAACGAGCGGTGATTAAGGGAAATGCGCATCGCAGGGTCAAATTATTATTATATATATTGGTATTAAGCGCTAAAGAATATCTAAAGTAAAGAGATAATCCAAGAGATATTGGAATGAATGATTGTGGCTTTTTAGAGAGCAGGAATATAGGGCTGATATGGTCAGTAGTAGTGATTTTGTCTCCTAAATATTAAGTTTTATTTAAATGTACGTTGCATAGATTGTCCATATTAAAGGATTATGACACTTTTTCCCATTCATAAGAATGGTCATAGTGGAACACCTCATAGGACGCTGAAGTGGTAGTAATTAGTGTGTGTTTTTTCCTCTACAGGAATGGGGTGGAACACATCAGTGGACCATAAGATACCTTCAGAAGTCGTCCTGCTGAACAAGAGCACTGGTCTCCCTGAAGAGAATGCTAGGGTCCCTCCAGGAACCTACACTCTCCTCCTCCTGGGCAACAACCAGCAAATGTGCAGTGATGGTGAGATGTCAAGGAGAGGAAAAAAGGCTGCAATGAGAGCTATGAGGCGGGATGGGAAGGATGAGGAAAAGAAACGATAACAAACGGGAAAGAGAGGGGTGGGGAAAAGAGTGAGGGTGACCTCTGAAGCATGGAGAGTAGTGAAAATAGCGACACAGAAGCAAATTATGTAGTTTTAAACAGTGGGAAATTAACAGTTATCCCCCACCCCCCAGTAGCTGTTGAGCTGAGAAAGTACCCAGTTGATTTGAATAAAAAATAGTAAGAGAGAATTTGAAATTTGAGAGTGAGGACAGAAAACAGATTGCATAGTATTAAATGTAAGTTATACTGACTTAGTTAGTCTTAAATACCAGGTTTTTGGGATGTTAATATCTCAAGCATCGACATTTTTATTTTTGGTCAACCCTACTGACTCACACACGAGGATCACAAGATAAGCTGGAGGGTCACCCTGCCTAGGTGGGAGACGCTGGACTTGTTGAAAAAAAAACAAAATATAATATATAAATAAATATATATATATATATATATATATATATATATATATATATATATATATATTATATATATATATATATATATATATATATATATATACATACAGGGAGGGTGGGTGCATTTACTAAACTGTTTCCTCTAATTTAATATAATTCAACTTGGGATATTCAGCAAGTCGCTATGGAACCAAAAAATTTCTTGATATCTGATTTTGTTTTCGTGTGCCGCTGTAAACTGATTTTTTTTTAGGTTCACCTGCTGCCGCAGGAGGTCACTGTACACCTGTGTTATGTATACATCTTTGCATCTATGCTTCCTTGTACACGTGTACACATGCTGAAGGGTATCACGCATGTAAACAGGAAAATAGCATTGAAATTGAGACTTTTTCGATTTTCAACGTGAGTCCTTGTCACCTGATGACACAGTTGGGAATCGAAACAGTCATTTCCACGGCTGCTTTTCAGTCTACATGTTGGGTACCCTTCAGCGGAGGCAAGTGTTCATTACACTTTAATTATCATGCATACACAATTGTACACCTGTGCTCCCTTGTATACCTGTGTACGCACATCATTGTACAACGAGGTTGTGTTGTCTTCATCAGACAATGACACCTACAGGAGATGGGGTCTTCTTTCCTACAAGGCGAAGAGTCCAGATTATGTTCTCTGTGAGACCCCCTCGAGTACGACCACCTTTACAACAACCACCACCACCTCTCAGACAACCACACCAGTGTCCCCAACACCTACGACAACTACTGGTGCTGCCACTACAACCTCCTCCACCACCACCACCAGTACAACCACTGACGAGGGTGAGTCAGGTTGCTCACTATGTTGTCAACGCTCAACTTAACATTATGCGCTTACTAAACGACCCATGGAGGATCAACGCTTTATCTGACCATTCTAAGATGTCAACGTTGAAATGTTTATAACTGCCAGAATGTCAATAAAAAATTACGTCAATATACATTGTTGTGCAGCAGTGTGTAAGTTCGTGTGTGCGCGCGAGCGCGCTTATTTACATGTTCCCGTATGGACCATATAATAAACAAGCTTGATCTCCCCCCCCCCCAAAAAAAAATATGAAGGGTAGCTCCAATTCCCCAGATCAAGAACCCTTCACCTGCATCAGGGCACCCTTTTGCAGGGTACAGGAGAGCCAGGGGCCGGAGCATACAGTAGGCGTCCGCCGGATGAGACAGGAGGAAAGTGTTCTTTGGGATTTGCAGTGCTGTTGGAGTGACATTTGTAGAGTTTTATGTAGGATCTCGGGAAAGTCTGTTACAGATTTATATTCCAGTGGTGGGAAGTACAGTACTTCCTGCTCTGTTTTCATTCCGGAAAAACAGCTATGGAGCGAGTGATGGTCAACTCTCTTCCTTTATTAATTCAGTTAACACTGGTGGGAAAATTGTATAATTATCTGCTTTTCTTGTATGCTTAATAAAAACAATAGAAATAAAAGCCTCCTTTAGTTGGATATATTACACAGTGTCTCCGTGTTTATGGTACAGGGTGTTGCCAGATGCTGCAGGAGAGAGAAACACCAGGCAACACACAGGCTGCTGCAACACCAGGCAACACACAGGCTGCTGCAACACCAGGCAACACACAGGCTGCTGCAACACCAGGCAACACACAGGCTGCTGCAACCTTCAATATTCCTCTGGTAACTTTCTATTGTTCCTTAAAATCAACTCTTCAGTTACTGTAAATTTGCTCATTTTCAAAATTACTAAAAATTACGTATAAAGAAAAACTAATTAAACATTATAAACTTATTTTTCAATAAATTATCACACAGTCTATACAAACTCACATTAGAGCTTTCTTCTGCTGATTTATATAAATATTGATTGGCCTCAGGGTGGGCAGGTGTGCCCTGGGCAGGTGGTGGAGGCGACTTGCCCTCCCGGCTACTCGGGCACCAGGACACTTACATGCCATCTCCCAGGTCCGCACTCGTTGTTATACAGGACTCCTGCGTTCTTCAGTGGATAATTGATGTCCAGGACAAGGTGAGAGACAGACAGAGAAGGTCAGAGAGAGCAGGAGAGGGATAAAATTATATATAAAAACCCGTGCTAAACCATATGGATCATCTGCTCAACTTACTTACGTTAGATTTTCGACGATAGACTCGCAATATTAGACTTAGGTTAGGGCAGACAGGCCCCGTTGTACATCTAAATACACAGTGAACGGAGAACCAACTAAGCCAGGAAAAGCCAAGGTAACAGGTTCGGAACTGCCCGAACGAGGGATTCTGGTACACCTGCACGAAACCACTGCCCGATTTGCTAGCGGGTACAAACAGAACTCCCCCAGTCACCAAAGCCTTCACCAGGCTGAAATGTTTTTTTTGATAATATATGAAGAAGGGAGAAGAGAAGAGGGCTGAAAAGGGGGTAAAAAAAGAGAAGAAGAGTTGCCCCGGCCCTCCCAACCAAGACCCCTCTTTTACCTTATGGTGAGAAAGTGACAAGGGAGGGAAATTTCTCAGAGAGGAGGGCGAGAGGAGGAGAGAGAGAGGCGAGAGGGGAGGGAGAGAGGAGGGAGAGAGGAGGGAGAGAGGAGGGCGAGAAGGAGGGAGAGAGAGGGGTTAAAGAAGGGGGAAATGGATTTCTTGAATCAAGAGCAGCGTCGCCACAGCAAGGGAGAGAGTCCGAGAGAGGACATAGGGGGGGAGAGAGAGGGCGAGGGGAGGGTGAGAGAGGGGGTTCGAGAGAGGAGGGGAGAGAGAGGGCGAGAGAGGAGGGCGAGAGAGGAGGGTGAGAGAGGAGGGTGAGAGAGGAGGGTGAGAGAGGAGGGTGAGAGAGGAGGGTGAAAGAGGAGGGTGAGAGAGGAGGGTGAGAGAGGAGGGTGAGAGATGAGGGTGAGAGTACACGAGGAAGGATGTATGTATTAGTGGAAAGTAACAGTTAATTAGCAAGGGAGGAATAAAAAAAAAAAGAATTTGAGCCTCAATATACAAGGCCATATTTACTTCCAGATAGTTAATTAGTTCTCTCAGAGAGTCGGTGTAGTTACTTTGACACAACAGTAAGTTAATCAACTTTGTGTGTTTTGACCAACAGATATACTCCGGGAACTACTCCGCTGTGACGATCGCAGATCAGGTCAAGAACAACACAGGTCAACACCAGCAGATGACCTACAACGACCTGAACACTCTTAATACAGTAGTTCACAACCTCAGCATTCTCTGTCAACACCGGGTATACGTATGGACACAGTAACGTGCACAGACAGGTACGTGCAAAACAAGGTAAGTCAACAGACAAGGTAACGGCACAGCAGACGTGCAACAACAAGGTAACGTGCAACAGACAGTACTGAATGACAAAGTACGTGCAACAGACAGGTAACGTCAACAGACAAGGTAACGTGCAACAGACAAGGTAACGTGCAACAGACAAGGTAACGTGCAACAGACAAGGTAACGTGCAACAGACAAGGTAACGTGCAACAGACAAGGTAACGTGTAGCAACAACAGAACACTTACTCACGACCATCAACAATAATCACTTCTCATACATGTATTTAAAGTCAATAAGGTCCAAGAACCGAGATTTTTTCAGTAAAGATCTCTTAAAGTGAAAATATTAGTGTCCACTTCTCTCAAAAACAGTTTAAAATTTTAAACATCCCGTTTTGCCTCTTAAGATTTTGTGTAGGATTTTTTTTTTTTAAGTTGTGTGTGTCTTCAAGGCGATATTTATTGACCCTTGGCCAGTGGCACATTTCTCTCTCTCACTGAGATCCTTCTCACCAGGTTCTGTCACAGAGAACATGGCTTCCCCCTTCCCCCCCTACACACACACACTAATATTTGTATCTTCTGCTTTGAATACAGGTTTAGCGCTTCACATGAACACTAAAGTTTATTTGTTTACACGATTATCGTGGTACTTATGAGCATACGTCTGTGTGCCTATTTTTTTTTACTTTAGGGTTTATATTTGCACCTACGAGCCTTTTGTGCCTAGGTGCCAATGGCTGTGCTGCTGTGTGCACGTTTGTGGTCATGTGCGTAAACTCGTATGAGAACGATCACGTACATGAGTGCGCATACGGGCTGTTATACACAAGGAATTTATCATTACTTGTCTCAGTGCACTTGACTTCAAATACAAAAATAATAGTTTCTAAACCTGGACGTTAACAGTAACAATGAATCACCTCAGACAAGGTCGTCTGTGCCACCTAATTACCGGGGACCTAACCGAACCTAAGCCCGCATTGGTAATGAGCTCTCTTGCTAATTAAACAGTGCCTGGCTAATTGCTTTCACCGGCATGACTTGCACTTAAAAAAGAGCCAACAGATAATAGAAATTATAGAAATTATTCCAGGCAAACCCGACACTCATTAACAAATTTATATGGCGGTTACTTATGTGACGTGTGACGTGACGTGTTACTTATGTGACGTGTGACGAGATCTACCTCACAATAACTTTAACACCCAAATGAAACTGGCCTATCCCGGCTCACCCAGGTGAATTATCTTTTCCCAATTACTAATTCAACAATACTTATGGCTGTATTTTGGTGTTGACACACCTGTCTGACACACATGTCACACACAGATGCAGGGAGTGGAGGAGGCTGAGGTGCGCGTCTCACTGGCCAAGAACTACACTAGTAAACTGGTGGCAATTACCGGTGATGTCATCACTGTTTCCACCTCCTGGTCATCACTCACCAAGGTGAGTACAGGTATACATAGCACTTACCAAGGTGAGTACAGGTATATATAGCACTCACCAAGGTGAGTACAGGTATACATAGCACTCACAAGGTGAGTGCTAAGTGTACCAGTATATCTAAGTGCTCTGTTCATCTATTTCTGTACGTGATTGTTTATATATGTCTGTTTCATTTACACCTATGCTCTGTACACCTTTGGCTAAAGGTCAACTACCTTGAATTAGCAAGAACAACAAAGAAAAAGCGAATATATGACTTACCAGGGTGAGAACAGATCACATCCACAACCTCGCTACACCAACCCAACACACACACACACTACCTCGCTACACCAACCCAACACACACACAAGGAAACCATGCCCCACTTCGCCCTAACAACTTTACGAAAGAGACGCGTAAATACCTAATCCAGGTATCGACTACACGAAGGTCATTAAGGCAGCATGTCACCTGTTCACCACCAGTCAAGAATCCTTTAATGGCTAGAACAGAGGTTAAAAAAAAATCTGTGTACATACACTGAGAGATACGCACCTCTCGGTGTGTATACCCTTGGAGTACTCAAGCCAATCCATAGATGGAGCAGCCATCTCAGTTTTGAAGGAGTACAAAAAAAATATATGCTTATTCTAAGCAGTAATTTCAAACATTCCTTGAGTACACACATATCTTGAGTACACACATGTCTTAAGTACACACATGTCTTGAGTACACACATATCTTGAGTACACACATGTCTTGAGTACACACATATCTCGAGTACACACATGTCTTGAGTACACACATACCTTGAGTACACATATCTTGAGTACATACATACCTTGAGTACACACATATCTTGAGAACACACATGTCTTGAGTACACATATCTTGAGTACACACATACCTTGAGTAAACATATCTTGAGTACACACATACCTTGAATACACATATACCTTGAGTACACACATACCTTGAGTACACACACATATCTTGAGTAGGTGTGGACGCTCGAATGCACCCTTTAACACGCAATTAACTCGCTCATGGGAGAATGAAGTCTGTGACGACGTTTCCGTTCGTCACTAGTTAATGATCCAAGTCGGACCGAAACGTCGTCATAAGTTCCATTCTCCTGTGCGAGGCTTGTTTGTGTATTGTTCCAGTCGCGATATTATGACTTTGTATTCTTTAAACACCCTTCAAGTAGCACTTATATTCACCCCTCACTTTCTCCCCCCATCAGTTCTCTCACTTCTCCCCCATCCCACCCCCGTCAGTTCTCTCACTTCTCCCCCATCCCACCCCCGTCAGTTCTCTCAGTTTCTTTTCCTTGTTTTACCTTGGGTGACAGGAGGAGGCAGGTCAGCTGGGGTCACCACTACTCAGTAATCTGGAGAACTCAGGTTTCATCTTGGCCGAGCAGATGACCCAGGATACAGTGACCTTCCTTGACCCACAGCTCAACATGACGGTCCTCTCCATGCCCAGGTCAGAACCACCCTCAGTAGGTCCAGTACCCTGGTCCAATACCTTGCTCCAGTACCCTGGTCTAATCCCTTGGTCTAATACCCTGGTCTAATACCTTGGTCCAATACCCTGGACTAATCCCTTGGTCCAATACCCTGGTCCAGTACCCTGGCCCAATACCCAGGCCTAGTACCCTGTCCGGTTCCATTTTATCCAAAATATATTGATGATTATTTCTTGTTTAAACAATTAAATGTTTGATGTTGTAGATCAACAAATAAACAGTTTATTTTTAATTATGTTCACTTTTAATATATTTTTTAAAAGCAAGAAAACAAGGAAAATAATATCAATGCAAACAAAAAATTAATATTATTATTATTATTATTATTATTATTATTATTATTATTATTATTTATTATTATTATTATTTTCAGTATTATTATTTTCATTATTATTATTATTATATCATGGGAGAAAGCTAAACCCATCGAAGCCATATGCTATCGATAAAGGAGAAGAGAAGCTCCAGTTCCTTTGATTAAGAACCCTTCATTAACTTCAAGGTACTCCACTTCAAAGTGGCGAAATTCAAAGCATGATACACGTCATGCGAGTCTTATGGATTTAGAGCTTACTTGTAATAATAATAATAATAATAATAATAATTGTTAGTCTGATATCTGATTATCCCTCTCCTTCCTCCACAGGGGTGAGCTTTCAGGGGCAGAGTTGTTCTTCCCAGGGGTGGAAGCATCCACCTACCTCCACCTGCCGAAGAATTTTGAGTCACTGCTGCCGGAGGGAGAGACGCAAGCCAGGATGGTGGGGTTCATCCTGAGGCAAGATGCAGCCTCCAGGGTCTTGCCAGCCTCTCTCAGCAGGTTGGTAACTCTCTCAGGTTGGTAACCCTCTTTCAGCAGGTTGATCACCCTCTGTCAGCAGGCTGGTCAGCCTCTGTCAATAGGCTGGTCACCCTCTCTCAGCAGGCTGGTCACCCTCTCTAGCAGGCTGGTCACTCTCTGTCAACAGGCTGGTCACCCTCTCTCAGCAGGCTGGTCACCCTGTCTCAGAAGCCTAATCACCCTCTGTCAGCAGGCTGGTCACCCTCTCTCAGCAGACGGGTCACCCTCTCTCAGCAGACTGGTCACCCCTCTGTCAGCAGGCTGGTCACCCTCTGTCAGCAGGCTGGTCACCCTCTCTCAGCAGACTGGTCACCCCTCTGTCAGCAGGCTGGTCACCCTCTGTCAGTAGGCTAGTCACCCTCTATCAGCAGGCTAGTCACCCTCTGTCAGCAGGCTGGTCACCCTCCAGCAGACTGGTCACCCCTCTGACAGCAGGCTGGTCACCCTCTGTCAGCAGGTTAGTCACCCTGTCTCAGAAGCCTAATCACCCTCTGTCAGCAGGCTGGTCACCCTCTCTCAGCAGACGGGTCACCCTCTCTCAGCACACTGGTCACCCCTCTGTCAGCAGGTTGGTCACCCTCTGTCAGCAGGTTAGTCACCCTCTGTCAGCAGGCTGGTCACCCTCTCTCAGCAGACTGGTCACCCTCTCTCAGCAGACTGGTCACCCTCTCTCAGCAGACTGGTCATTCTCTGAGTCCACTTTGCAACATTATTATAGACAAATCGTGTCCCTCTTTATATAAGACTGATTAGCAAAATAATCAAGGACACGATTCTTCCAAAATAAATGTTGATCAATATATCCTTAGCCGGAGATTACAACACAAACATTATCATGGATTCAACTTTTTGTGGGCCGAGTTTATAAAGCAGATATTCAGTGTGATTTAAGCTTTAAAAATAGGCATGTTAAGTGATGTGAGCTTTTCTGAGCAGTGTGAACTTGTAAAATGAAATTTTTCATTAGACTGAACATCTAACATGTTCATCTGAGTGGTGTGACCTTGCAACCTAAACATCTGAATGATCTGAACTTTCAACATTGACGACACGTTCAAGAGTTAATTAATTATTATTATTATTATTATTATTATTATTATTATTATTTATTTTGAGGATCTGGATGAGTCGGAATTCCAGTCTAAGAATTAGTAACAAAACTAAGGTGTTTCTTTTTCCGAGGCTTCCAACGTTCTTCAGTGAAATATAACCTTGGTGGACAGGTAACATACAGGGTTAATTATCTCTTGAGAACCCTGAACCACTGCTTCACTGCACACCTTCCCTTGGGGAGGGGAAGACCAGAAGGGGTTCTGGGGAGAGGAGGAGAGGTGCCTTGGAGAGAGGATTGAGGGGAGAGGGGATCCGGCGGTGGGAAATAAAGTCCAACAAATTAACGGACATAGTAACAATGACATGATTGACTCACCTGGTCAGGAGTGTGCCTTATGCCGAGTACAAGGTCATCAACAGTGCCGTGGTAAGCATGAGCCTGGGAGAGTCAGGTCACACCATCAACTTCACCTCGCTGGAAGAAGGAGTCATCTTTCGTCTCTACCACACTCAGCAGGAAAGTGGGCCCTACTTCAGGTAGGTACTTCCACGTCCAGCTGCCTGTCAGTCTGTCTGTTTGCCTGTCTCTGCTCCCTGAACGCCAGGTCTTTCCTCTTCCTAACATCGTCCACGACTATTCCCTATCTCATTTATCAGTTATGTCTTCTACTTCACTCTTTGCACCAAACCTTTCAAAAAAGATTATTATTATTACTATTATTATTATTATTATTATTATTATTATTATGTTTGGCCATACAGCTCCTGAGAAATGGCAGGTAATCAGATTCTATCACTGGCTCAAGATCCCTTCCCTTCCCTCCATCCTCCGCAACAAACAAATCAGTTTATTCCCTAGGTATTATAAATTTATTTGCCTGCTCAAACTTCTTTCTTATTCTTGGAAAAATTCTCCAATAACTGACTCCATATTTCTTTCATTTGATCTACACTCCGTTACCACTCGTTTATCTTATCCCTCCTTCACTCCATCATCATTATTGTATCCTGCTCCTTCTCCATATACTCAGCTTTCGTACACAATTTTTGCAGAGTAAAATTATATCGTACTGTTTCATGATTTTTTTGAGAGAAGAGAGATTTTTGCTCAAGGCCAGAAAACCAGCTCAGTGTTCTCACTATATATGATATTTATATATTATTATTTGATAGTAATAGTACGAGTAGTAGTAGCAGTAGTAGTAGGAATAGTAGTAGTACTAGTAAATATTATAATTATTATTATTATTATTAATTTTATTATTACCGCTTTCCCATGTGTAGAGATCTATACAGAGAGAGGAGAGAGGGTGAAGCAGCCACACCTGTTCCTGCTACTGCTCGTTGTGTCTACTGGGACAGTTACTACAGGTAAAAGTTATATATTTAATTGCTGACTACACTGAGTGATTCCGAAATACATGTACCGCTGTAAATGTCGATATCGATTGTAATTTTACAGGCACTGGTAGCAGTAAATGCGTGTACTAATGAATTATATTAATACTGGCAATTTCAAGAGTAAATTTTGAGAAAGAGAGAGAAAGAGAGAGCACTTGGGAAAAATGTCCCACTGTGAAACTGTTATATATATCACCGCTCTGGCACCTTGCTTGGTCTCTGATCTCACACACGCCCATTCCACTGGTCAATTTCCTCCCCATGATCGTCTACCTGGTCTACCAGTCTCCCCTTATCATCTACGTGCTCTTATCTACTCACCATTACCGTCTACCTATTCCCATGACCAATGTACTCTCTCCTAACCGTTTACCTGATCTACCGGGGTCAGCATGTGGGCACCGGAGGGCTGTGACCTGGTCAATACCACCAACGAGGTCACTTACTGCTGGTGTCAACATCTCACCATGATCGCCATCCTTACTGACATTCACCACTACCTGGTAAGTGACCGTATACTCGTGTGAGTACATCCTGAGTATTCCGAATACATCTTGCGTATCATAAGTGCGTCTTGTATACATTGAGTTCATCCTGTGTATTCTGAGTACATCCTGTGTGTTCCAAGTTCATTATAAGTATCTTGAATTCATTCTGAATGTCTTGAGTACATCCTGAGTGCCGTAAGTGAATTGTAAGTGCCTTGAGTACATGATAGTGGCACTGTGTTCGTTTACAGGGTCGTGATGCCACGCTGGACACTCTTGGCACTGTCCTCACCACCGCCTCCTGTGTCTCCCTGTGTCTGGCCTTCTGTATCCTCCAGTCTATCAAGTGAGACACTCCTCCATGTATTACTCTAACCACTGTGGAGAATCGCTAAACCACAAGGGGTAAAATAGACTATAGAAGAGGTTGTGCTAATCAATAAGGGAGACGAGGAGATGAATAATTGAATATATTTGTGTATTGTTGTGCAGTATTTGGGAATAAAAAGCTACTCAAATGTTGGACAGATTTCTCGTTCATCAGTTTGTTAGTTCTGGAAATCATTTTCATCACATTATTGTTCATCTCTGTATATTGTATTCATTACCTGAGATCAAGTCACGTAGCATCTCATGCCACAGGTGTTATGCTAATCCCTAAAGGTTTAGCTCTTCCCTATGAGAAAAAAAAAAAAGGCTGGTGATCAATTTTATGATTTGCCAATTGTGTGAAAATACAAATATAAATTTATTTATTTTCTGCAGTATAAAGGTAATATAGTTTACATATAATAAAATACTGTTTGGCACAAAAGGAAGCCACCAGCATGCGCTGCTACAAACATTAATAATTTACCTGATAATTTTTGTTTTTGTTTTGTGTGTGTGTGTTTGGGGGGGACAGGAGCCTGGGAAGTGCTCGCACCAGTATCACCAAGCATCTGTGTGTCACTCTTGGCCTCTCACACCTGCTACTGCTGCTCCTTCTGGATCCAGACTTCCTTAAACTTTCTAAGGTATGTAATTCTCTGCCCTAGTCTCTCTCTCTCTCTCTCTCTCTCTCTCTCTTTCTTTCTTTCTGATAAACACGAGTAAACAATAGGTAAATTTAAATATCGATTTTTAACTAAGATTTTCGTAATACATAAAACAACGGTTAACAAATGCAAAGATATTTAGACAGCAGTGTGTATGTCAAGCTGACACTGCTTAGTTGACACTGACGTTGACTGTCAGCTATTTATTTTATTTATTTATTTAATATGTGTACATGTATGAGCGTGTGAGTGTGGACGTCAGTGACAAGGTATTCGTATCATCGGAGTGACCATATATACGAATCCACAGCGTGAGTGTGAAGCCTCAGCCGTGGTGCTCCACTACTGTCTCACTGCTAGTCTCTGCTGGATGCTGGGTGAAGGGATTCATCTGGTGTACACCATCCATCACCTGCTCTCCCAGACACGATACATGCCAGCCTACTGGTCAGTCAACTCGTTTGTCCTGGCAAACTGCCTTTATCTGACCATTGAATGATGCAAATGTTTCTCTGTTAACATCTTGCCACTGTAAGACAGTAAGACAAGTTATACACCAACTTGTCTTACTGCCTGTGTTCGTGAAAAAAACAAATCTGTATATATTCTCCGATGCTCATTAGTATCGAGAATAAAATGGCCCAATATGCAAATAACTCTCACTTATGACGATGTTTCGGTCCATCTTGGAGAATTAGTAACTAGTTAATGATCATGAGTTTCTCTCTCCTATGTGCGGGTTATCTGCGTACTCATCAATATGTTTATCATCTTGTATCAGGGTGGTTGGGTATGGCGTACCAGCAGTGGTAGTGATGGTGACGCTGCTGACGTCGTACAGCACACAAGACTGGTTGACGCAGACAGCTTACGCTCCTCCACACGCTGAATAGTGAGTTAGTCTCCTGTGGTATTTACCAATAATCGAGTGAGGTTCATTTTGGCATAAAATCAATGTAATATGACAATAATAATAATAATAAAGCACATGGAACACTTGGTGATTTTTACAGTGTTTATTTCCATTGTGTGTATTTACAATGTTTATTCCCATTCTGTGTACTGACTATGTTTTGGCCTTTGATGTTTACCCCTTTTTTTCAATATTTCTCCCGAACTAACATTTATAAAAACATTTGTTCATTAATTTTCATTGATATAAATATCTTATATGCTTAAATATTAAAATTTGTAATGAAGTTTTGATGAGATTCCCTGATTTTGATGTTATACGTATTAATGTTATGTGTTGCAATGTTGTGCGTTGCAGTTGCTGGCTCAACACTGATGGAGGCTACATATGGGCCTTCACCGGACCCCTGGTGATGGTGATTGTGGTAAGTGTGGTAGTTGTGGTTGCTGTGATTGTGGTAAGTGTGGTGGTTGTGGTAAGTGTGTGGTGGTGGTGGTTATGGTAAGTGTAGTAACCTGGACAAGGGTAAATACATACCTCCATGTAAAAATATCCCGATTAATTCTTTTTTTTTTCTGATCCTGAGAACAAACTGGAATACACAGAATAAACAAATCCAGTTTTTATATAGAGTTCAGAGTGAGAGTGCACTATTGTGTACTTACACTGACAGATGCGTATCTCATCGTACGTACACAGACACATCTATCAGTGTACGTACGATGAGATACACATCTATATCTCATCGTACGTACACTGACAGATGTGTATCTCATCGTACGTACACTAATAGATGTATACCTATCATCGTACGTACACTGATAGATATGTATCTCTCAGTCCATATACGATGATAGTTCTGTATGTCTTAGGTCATATACATCCATACAAGTATATCTCTCACTGCTTGTTCACCAATAGAGGCAGTAAGATCATAGGAAAAAAAAGTAATTTTTTAATATAATATTTAATTCCGGTAAATAGTTGCTACATTCTGAGCACTTTCGTGAACTCTCCGTCACATTATATGAACTTTTGTCACTTGCCATGAAAATGTCAAAGACCTGGGAGTGATCATGTCGGAGGATCTCACCTTCAAGGACCATAACATTGTATCAATCGCAGCTGCTAGAAAAATGACAGGATGGATAATGAGAACCTTCAAAACTAGGGATGCCAAGCCCATGATGACACTCTTCAGGTCACTTGTTCTATCTAGGCTGGAATATTGCTGCACACTAACAGCACCTTTCAAGGCAGGTGAAATTGCTGACCTAGAAAATGTACAGAGAACCTTCACGGCGCGCATAACGGAGATAAAACACCTCAATTACTGGGAGCGCTTGAGGTTCCTAAACCTGTATTCCCTGGAACGCAGGAGGGAGAGATACATGATTATATACACCTGGAAAATCCTAGAGGGACTAGTACCGAATTTGCACACGAAAATCACTCACTACGAAAGCAAAAGACTTGGCAGACGATGCAACATCCCCCCAATGAAAAGCAGGAGTGTCACTAGCACGTTAAGAGACCATACAATAAGTGTCAGGGGCCCGAGACTGTTCAACTGCCTCCCAGCATACATAAGGGGGATTACCAATAAACCCCTGGCAGTCTTCAAGCTGGCACTGGACGAGCACCTAAAGTCGGTACCTGACCAGCCGGGCTGTGGCTCGTACGTTGGATTGCGTGCAGCCAGCAGTAACAACCTGGTTGATCAGGCTCTGATCCACCAGGAGGCCTGGTCACAGACCGGGCCGCGGGGGCGTTGACCCCCGGAACTCTCTCCAGGTAAACTCCAGAGATCGCCAAAGCGCTTACAACTAGACATTACGAAATACGTATCTTTTAGCGTATATACAACGAAAGAAGTATATCTTTCATTGTATATGCATCAACAGATGTGTATCTCGGTATATTCAAGAAGTTGGTGGTAAACATGACAGTGAAATCATGCCAGAGATAGGAAACAAGCCCAAGAGGTGCAGCTCATCTCCCCTCAAACTCTGATAGGTAATGACAGACGTACTAACAAGTGTGAATTCCACAGGTCAACACGATAAGCATGATCCTGGCACTGAGGTCAGCAGCTGTGCTGAAGGCCAACAAGCAGAAGACTTTAACGCAGCAAGTAAGGTGGGAACAACAAGCTTTTTGAGAGAAAGAGAGAGAATGAATGAAAGAAGGAGAGAGAGGAAGAATATGTCAATATTGGTGGGCAAACGATATGTCTCTCCCCACAAGCAATTTCTCCTCCCCCCTCCCACAGATTATCTTCCCAGAGACTATCACTTCATTGCAGTCTGCGGGTGAATACATATCCCATCCTCAAAAGAGATTCCACCACAGGTTATGGGTAAAGATACATTTCACCTCAAAGACTTTCCCCTCATGGGTGGCCCGGTGGCCTGGTGGCTAAAGCTCCCGCTTCACACACGGAGGGCCCGGGTTCGATTCCCGGCGGGAGGAAACATTCGACACGTTTCCTTACACCTGTTGTCCTGTTCACCTAGCAGCAAATAGGTACCTGGGTGTTAGTCGATTGGTGTGGGTCGCATCCTGGGGGACAAGATTAAGGACCCCAATGGAAATAAGTTAGACAGTCCTCGATGACGCACTGACTTTCTTGGGTTATCCTGGGTGGCTAACCCTCCGGGGTTAAAAATCCGAACGAAATCTTATCTTATCTCTCACACATTGTCTCTCCCCCTCAGGTTGTGGGTGAAGGGAAGCTTCTCACTCAACTGTCTACTGGGAGTAACTTGGGTGTTCGGTCTCCTCTACATTAACACTGGCCACGTCTTTGCTTACCTCTTCACCATCCTCACTGCCTCCCAGGTAACTTATCCCAGGTAATGTGTAATTAGCATTATAAAGAACTGGTAATATAATTGTATTATTATTATTATCCTGTATTACGAGAATAGTCAGATTTAATTACTAGTAGATGTAATCATTAATCAATATCATATTATTATATTCAGTCAAAAACTTAAGGCTATGATATATATTATATTTTATTAAGTAACTCTGAATGACCTTTCTCTCTCTCTCTCTCTCTCTCTCTCTCTCTCTCTCTCTCTCTCTCTCTCTCTCTCTCTCTCTCTCTCTCTCTCTCTCTCTCTCTCTCTCTCTCTCGTTCTCTCTCTCCTCTTGGTGTCACTCACAGGGTGTGATGATCCTGGTGTTCCACTGTCTGGTGAACACAACGGTGAGAACTGCTGTTATCTCCCGCTTACGCAAAATCTTCAAGTACCTGCCGACGGTCAGTTCTGCCTGGTTCTTGGTATATTGTCTCTCCTAGTGCCTCTACTTAGAAGCTACTATGAGGAACTTACCAGTTACTGAGATCAACCTAGAAGTTATTGAGAGGAATCTAGTGGTTACTGAGAGGAATCTAGAAGTTATTGAAAGGAACCTAGTTCTTACTGAGAGAAACCTAGAAGTTATTAAAAGGAACCTAGTAGTTACTGAGAGATGTCTAGCAGCTAGCTAGATTCTTTTATAGTTACTGAAGCTAAAAATATTATTAATAAAGTACAAATAGTTGACAAAAAGGAAATTATTATATATTTATCTTTAGTTTTTGTCGTAACATTCTTTTGTTTTTCTTCAGAAGTCGAAGACATCTACTTCAAAAGGCACTTTAGCTAAGAGACAGTCTTGTGCTCCTGCCAAGGCCTCCAGCGATCTTCAAGACGACTCCCGAACTCACCAGCAACCATCAACCCTCCAACGCCAGCACCCATCAACCCTCCAACGCCAGCACCCATCAACCCTCCAACGCCAGCATCCATTACTCCTTCATCACCGCAGTCGTGGCGCTTGCCAACACAGCGACGATGTCCAACACCACGACAGCTGTCGCCAACATTGCTTCGCCAACGATCGCCAGAAGTGCTTCCCCAACATCAAGTATCATTGTTCCTCCATCGTTAGCCAATATTCATCCAGCATTCATCAACGCGGCTGCATCAACGATCCTCAATGCACTACAGAGGACAGCCAACAATACTCCAACGATGGCTACCAGTACTCTACCAACGATCACGATCAGTACTCCACCAACGATGGTCAACAGTGCTCTACCAACGATGGCCACCAGTACTCTACCAACGATGGCCACCAGTACTCTACCAACGACGGCCACCAATACTCCACCAACGATCGCCACCATTACTCCCCCAGGTACTTAGTTGTCTCTTTTCTAGCACGCTTATAGCTTATAGCTTATAGCTTAGTTAAATCGCATCGTTAGAAATCCTAGTAAGTTATTTCCCCTCATCTGTTTTATCCATTGACAACAACTACTTTAAAAGTGCGTCCTCCCCCCTCCCCCCAAAGAAAATTCGAAGGTGAATTGTTAAATAAACTTTCAAAAATTTGTTATGTACAAATGTTAGAATCTGCGGCAAAACTAATCAATCAACCTAAATTAACCTCACAAAGCTTTGTGTACTAGAAAACATGTGATGATTGGTTTGAAAAACCGACAAGTTGAAGATTGAGACACTTATGCAGCATATGGGAATCTTTATTCAGGAAACGTTTCGCCACACAGTGGCTTCATCAGTCCAATACAAAGAGGAAGGCGTAAGGAGAGGAGAGTATGAGGTAATCAGTCCCTCAACCTGGAGTCGATGTGTTCAGTCCATCAGTCTTGTAGAATTCTACAAGATTGATGGACTGAACACATCGACTCCAGGTTGAGGGACTGATTACCTCATACTACTCCTCTCCTTACGCCTTCCTCTTTGTATTGGACTGATGAAGCCACTGTGTGGCGAAACGTTTCCTGAATAAAGATTCCCATATGCTGCATAAGTGTCTCAATCTTCAACTAGAAAACATAAATTTGCCTAACCTAGCTAAGACTGAGAATGACCTGACCTGTTTCATATGGGGAAATGAGAGGGATACACAGACCGAGTGCTGGGTATCCCTCACAGGATGTATTTCTCTCAGCCTATATATACTGAGAGTTGTTTACTTTAATTTCTATTTTAGGGATTAAAGTATTCTTGTCTGGTGGTGAAAAGATTACGGTGTAGCTTTAATGACCCTCATGTAGTCGATAGCCTTTAAACCTCTTTCAGTAACCTTCACTGTCTCTTATTGTATACAGACTGTGAGTTTAACTCCTGTTTCAATTTAACACCTGTTCACCTGGTGGTGAACAGGTGACCTGCAGCCTTAATGACCATCGTGTAGTCGATAGGCTTTAAACCCAATTAACCTATTCTTCTAATGGAAGCTCGGACCCTAAAGAGGTCATACAACGCCTTGGGAAGAGGTAATTAAGTTTGACCTGAGAAAGGAGAAGATAACTCCAGTTCCCAAGATCAAGAGAGGGGGAAATATATCCTTAACATGAGAGGTGTGTCTCTTGACCCCATAATGACCTTGTGACCTCCCGCAGGGTGGCACCAGTGCCACTGAGTGGCTCACCTGAGGTGAGCCAGAGAGCCACCCGTGCTGCCAGTGACTGGTCCAACATCACACAGTTCACCTATATTTCGGGTGAGTCTCAAACGTTATGTTAATTTTCTAGGTGACTACTATATTTTGTTGTGGGTGAGTCTAGTCGAGTGCTCCAGGTAGTCACTTGAATCAGGTGATATTTATGAAAATTGGTTGAATTAGACACAAATGCGGAACATAACTTATTGTGGAACACAGGTTTTTAATTCTGTATAATATGACGAACAAGCATGTGTGTGTGTGTGTGTGTGTGTGTTTATAAAAAAATCATCTTAAATTTCAATTTCCTAAGTGCAGGTTAATTGTGTTTGCAAGAATAAAGTCAAGTGTGAGCAGGTGAGTGATTGGGGAAGTGATTACTCAAGATTATTTTAGCCTTAGATGATTAGATCACTCTCGTGGAATTTTCCTGTACGACTCCTCGACTTCAGATGTCTGTCGAAATAAATGGACTTACCTCCTACACTTGCTCACTATCTCTATCTCTCTCTCACCAGACTGCCCCAACAGTGAGAACTCGTCAGAAAGAAGAACTTCGTTCGAGTCGTGTACTTCAGATGACTCCTTCACGTCCGGACCCCCTTTAGGGCCCTCTCGACCATCCATGGGATCTTCTCGGGGCCCAGTACCTCCACTGGTGACACTACAGGCCCCACAAGACGACAGATTGTGGGAGCCTGACAACCATCGCTACGTACCAGAGATTGAAACCATCTTGGAGTGTGAGGAAAGAAGCCCTCGCTCTGAGAACGCTATTAACTTCTTTTAGGGAATCCGTTGTATAACTCCTTCTTGTTTAGTTTAATTATTATTTTTCTGTTTGCACATGAAACTGTAATGAACGCTGGTCAGTAGCACCAACGGACTCACGTATGAGGAATTAGATATGTACAAACCATACCACGGGTGGGGTTTGAACCCGCGGTCAGAGAGTCTCAAAACTCCAGACCGTCGAGTTAGCCACTGGGCCAGCTAGTGGTCAGAGTGTCTCAAAACTCCAGACGGTCTGGAGTTTTGAGACACTCTGACCGCAGGTTCAAACCCCACCCGTGGTATGGTTTGTTTGCAATCGTGTCATTACGATTTCGTGAGTCAATTAGATACGTGTGCAACACCTGGGTATCGTTATTTGAAAACTTTTAGCCAACCAGTGGCTTTATCAACTCAATACAGAGTAGTAGACGAGATAAACATTGCTTCAGCCTCTGCAAATTTGTACACAGAAGGCAGTGGATGATCAGGCAATCATGTCGTAAAGGGTTCTTAAGTGGAGTGATGGTGAATGATAACTCACCGAGACGGTTATACTAGTATATTTAGTATATATGTGGTAAAAAGCCCAGCCTGCAGTCTGATGTCGTGACAACCTTGAAGGTACATGACTGACTGCCAGGGTACGCCCTCATTCAACTCAGCCTCACAGCGGGGCAGCATCATAGCAAGGTTCAAACAATGCTGATATAACAGTATCTGAAAGGCCCGTGGCATCATGGGTAGTATATTTTAAATATGCTGACAGCTCGGCGACACTTCAAACTTCTCAGGCTCTGGGCTGATTTTATACAATACTAGAAAATGTTATACACAATAACATAGGGTATATTTGAATATAATTAGGACATACTTAAATGAAATTGCTGATAACTGATTGTAATGCATTACAAATTATGATAAATCATAAATCATGGTGGATCACAGAATTAATGAGAATATAAGTAAACAAGAGAATTCGAATCGATTGTTGTTTACGTGATCTATGGATTCTGTGAGCTGTATAGCCCTTGTGGCTTAGCGCTTCTTTTTGATTATAATAATATGGATTCTGTGAAAATTTATTTACAAAGGAGAAAGTGTTTAACAGATAAGGCAAACTTGGTGCACACAAGTCTTTTACTGTTAAATCTCAGAGAGAACGTGAACATTTATATAAAAAAAATTTTGATCCACAATTAAATTGATATATTTTAAGACTACACGCACAGTTGAGTACTTTCTTGAACTATACTAATCATCTATACAGGTTATTTACATATAACCCCAACTCTGCTGGGGTAAAATTTATATATGCAGAGTGGTTATCAAATTCTGTTGACACTGGTAACACAAAAATCAGTCCCTCAGCCTAAAAGCCAGTGTTCAGTACCTTAGTCTTGTGCTGAGGTAATTAGGTCACGTGAATTACAGAGTGTATCTAAATGGTATAAAATACCAAGTTGATAAAATAAGACATAGGGGAAACAATCGTTACCCAAGCATGCAGACGAATATAACAGTGGAGACAGTAGAAGTAGTCTGGAGGTAATCAGTCCATCAGTGGTCAGGCCCTCGAGTCTGGCTTGAGGGACTGACCACTGAGCACCAATAATAATACCCCCATTGTTGCACACGTGTCTCCAGTTTCAACACCAAGTATCTCTATATTGAATTGATTAAGCCAATGGTTGGCGAAACGTTACACTAAAGATGCCCAGGTGTTGCACATGTGTCTTATTCACCAACTTGTTCATCACTGATCTAAATGGTGTGCTGCCGATAATAGTGAAAAAATAACACTTCGCAAAGTAATCTTTTATTCAAATATAATATAGATTTAAACACCTCGAACATTGTCCCAGTAAAAGCTAATTCCTTCTGCTAAGTACAGAGCAGGAGCACCTTAATTCAGAACAGGCAGGTATAAAATCAGGTTTCTCATCGGCCAATCAGCCTTGAAGTAGATTTGAGGTGGTCAGTCCCTCGACGCTGAGAAGCGTCCAGTCCATACCTGAAGGGTGTTCCAGGGAGTCAACGCCCCCGCGGCTCGGTCCATGACCAGGCCTCGCGGTGGATCAGGACCAGCCAGGGAGCCTGTCTATAAAGTACACAGTAACACTACTGACATTATTGCCGATCGAGACCTTGAAACTGGACGCTTTTTCATGGCTGTGGGACTGACCACCTCGCAGCTACTGCTTCTAGGCTGATGGACCGATACCTTTACCATGACAGAGAGGGCCAGAGCTTGCTACCACCTGCAGCTCATGAGACTGCCATTCTCACGAGCTCCCCTGGGATGGGGAAGGTGGCAGACCAGAAGCCTAGCTTCTCCCTACGAGCCCCGTGAGGGCGGGGAATGGGGCTAGGTCTAGGGACAGCTGGTCCCAGAAAATGAGGAGGTACTTGTACCTCCTCCCATGGCAGACATAGGTCTCAGACACTCTCAAGACAGGAAGCCAAGGCTGGGTCACCATTTGGAAAACACCCGGGCCGAGAGAGTACCGGCGAATGAAGAGGAAGAACCTTTACCGTCAAGTTTCTCCTGGTCTCGTGAGATGTTGATACTGTCTTGACGCAGTTAATAATTTTGATCTAGTTTGTCGATGGCATTCCTGTAATAAGCGGCCACTTATTTTAAATCTCAATTATACTGGATTAACTAGTTGAAGCCACGACCCTGTGCGAGATAAACCATAATCAGTATTATTGTATTTATGAGAAAGCGCTAAACCAATAAGTCACAGAGGAATGGGAGGTAATCAGGTTTGATCCAAGAACCCTTCGCTAGTACTAGGGGATGTTTGATAAACCGTTTTAGTTCATTGTTTTTATTAAATGTCATGTCAATGAAGCTAGCAACACATTACCAATGTAGTTAACATTTTAATAATAATAAAATGTTTAGCGTGTTAATTTTCATTTTGAGGATATGATAAAATGACAATAAGGTTATTAGACTTGCAGAATTTTTCAATCACCTAGTAAAGGCAAAAAAAATTTACAAATTTGAACAGGTTAGCCATATGCAGTAAATACATCGTTTTCTTTAAAGCTTTTGCGTTTGAGCTTGTCTGAAAGTTAGAAGATAAACCCCGAAGCAAAACTATAAAAAATGTACACTCTTCGAACTAAATTTCGCTCAACCATAGTGTGTCACTCGTGGCTGTAGCATCACTATAAGCGCCGCTATAACCGCGTACAGAGGATACATCATTAATGAACGTGGCAATGTTGTTCCTGGGGTGTGTGTGTGTGTGAGGGAGGTTCTCCTTAACAACACTAAACAGCACAAACAAGACTGACAGCAGTGACACCAGTGAAGCAACACAGCAACGAGAGTGACAACATACTACAGCCAGCGCTATCGTCAAGAAGA